ATATCATAAAATAATATATTATCCTCAACTTCATGCAATATGCATACAATCTTCTGATGGTAACTGGAGAGATTGCAATATTTTCTTCTCATTTTAAAGCATATTTAAGATAAACATTTGATTTTAAAGCCTGGCTTATAGAAACATTTAAAATGAAAAAGGTGAAGATAACGAACTGTGATCGATCTCCAATATATACAAACAATACAAACCTGGGAACAGGGCATAAAACATGGACCCCCTGGAAATTCCAGAGGTGGGTTCATGTGCCTAGGAGGAGTAAGGATCCCCTGTTGACCGGTTACATCCGCCGTGATCGAGCCCTGTGTATTGATGAGGTAGACGGATCTATCAAATGATTAATCAAATTTAGTATGAAAACAAAGGCCTAACAATTGTTATGAAACGCACGTCAGCCAAAATACATTTAAGACCCAGTGATATGTTATATTTGCTAACTAGATCATAATGACCATAGGATAACTTTAAACAAGGTTGTTTAAATTCCTATAACATCAACTTAGCTGTCAGCAGCCTGTCTCGGTTTAAAAATTGATCGCATTCAAAGTATGCTCTTGAGTATCGAATAAACACTAAATGCAGGTGATAGCGGAATATTAATACATAAATGAGATAAAGTGATGATGGAAATCTTGTTTGTCTTACAATTTAGTTGTTGGTTGGCTGGTTGGCCCTTATCGTATATAGTCAGTAAAACATCAAAATATGAAAAAGATGTGGCAAACTCTGTGTTATCTATCATGAGTGTCTCAGGTGACCTGCATTGTATTTCTGTCTGCATCCTTCGGCGTGCGTCGTCAGTCGTCCGTTAACATTTCCATGGCCAGCTCTTCACAAACCGCTAAACCAATTTCAGCCAATTTTGGCATATAGCATCTATGGGTAAAGGGGAACAAAATTTGTGAGTTTCACGGTCCATGCTCCCTGGGGTCTGAGGGATATGGCTAAATCTATCAAAATTAATGTAATCTTTGAAAATCCTTTCTTTACTCCTGGACATCAAGCAGTCAAACTTTGGCATGATTGTAATAAGCATTAAGCCCTCTACCAAAATTGTGAAAGAGGGTGTTGCAGTTCTTTTGTTATTTTCCCTAAAGTTGTAGCAGTTTAAAAGAAAAATTTAAAGTAACAGAAAACGGTCTTAATTTTTTTCAGATACAACGATATATACAGCACAATGTAGAACAATATTTAGAAACTGCATATCGACTTCCAATTTGCCATTAAATGAAGTGTAAATTAGTCATATAGCAAAATAAGTCAAGTTTTCTGTTTTTCAAATAGGGAATCCCCATTGTTCTGAAAAACTGCCTCCTTGAAACAGAATGAATTTGATATGCGCATAAAGAGACAGGATTTTTCTTCAAAACATCCATTTCCGATTTTTGTTTCAAAGAGGCATATTTTTGAAAATCACAAAAATCGAATAAAATTATTATTCATCCGAAATTCAAAATGTGCACATAAAATAGCACATGATATTTCGCTGTCGGAGCTGGTCTAGTGGTAAGGCGTGTGGACCCTATGCAAAAATTTTGTGATAAGCAAGGATGCTTCTTCCAAAATTATGAGTTTCATGGTCCCTGGTCAGAGGTTCTGGTGTTAGAGTTCGGCTGTATAGATCATATAGTGAAAATGCATTATTTCGTCGAAAATGGTGTTTAGCAGATAAACGAAGTGAAAAGTTATAATGAGCAAAGGTGCTTCTAAAATTTGTGAAGTCTGTGGCCCCTGGGTCAATGTTTCTGGTGTTTGGGTAGGGGGATCTATTGATTATATAGAGAAAATGCATAATTTCTTTGAAAATCTTCTTCAACTAAGTGCATAGTTCTGATGAGCAAGGGTACCTTTTCCAATTGTGAATTTCATGACCTTGAGTCAAGGGTTCTGATGTTAGGCTGTGTTAAATCTGTAGTGAAAATGCATTATTTTTTTGAAAATTTTCTTTGCTCCTGAGCATCTAGGAGGCAAACAGAGTAAATGTAGTAATAAGCAAGGGTATTTTTATCAGATTTCTGAAATTCTGGATCATATGGTCAAGTGTTCTGGTGCTAGTCAGGGCTCTTCTAATTAGTATTCTACTGAGAGAAGTCATTTCCCTTTTCTTATTTACCTATGATAATTAATCACTGTAAATAATGTAATTGAAAAATCAATGGAAAGAGAGAATTACGCAAGAATATTGTATAATGCAAAAAGAACTTTCATAATTTTAATGTCAGGTAGTCTTGTAAATAATAGATACACAAAAATGGAAGAAAATCAACTTTAGTTATCTTATTAAATGTTCTTAAAGACCAGGAGATGCAAAAATGAGAAGTAATAAGATGGGTTTAAAATAAGTACCTAAGCACTATTGTTTTGTTTAATCTTTATGGTGATAGTGATATATGGGGGCAAGTAGATCTACTTTATGGGTTGTGACTGAGTTCATTTTGTTGATACCTGATCATCCTATTTCTCTTGCTTTTGGGAAACATAGCTTCATTCTTATAATCTATTTATTTTATTTTATACTTCTATGGATCCTTTTAATTGTTGTTTTATACTCAGGTGATGGTTAAAGCCCTTGGACCTCTTATTTTGAGTTCACTGGGATATATATATATATATATATATATATATATATATATATATATATATATATATATATATATATATATATATATATATATATATATATATATATATATATATATCGAATCGACATACGAATGGAAGTAACTATTGTGCATTAAACGTCGTCGATATATCTGAATGTAGAATTGAAGACCACTTCGAGTGTTTTCTACTTTTCATGTAGAAGTTTTTGAATAAATTCAGCTTCATAGGAATATAAAAACAGGTCGGCTAATAAAGAGGCACAATTAGTGCCAATCGGAATTCCACCAAAGTGTTGGAAGACCTGGTCTCCAAAGACTACATACATGTACAATATAGATGTCAATGAGGAACTCCAGCATCCTTTAATATCAACTTCACAGTACTTGTGAATCAGGGTGATATTTTGTTGATGACCAAACACAAGATATGAAAAGTTCCGTTTTTATTTAAGAAGCAATTGTCTTTGAAATCAAAAAGCCTTGTTTTTAATTTACCGTGATGAGGCAGAGGAGGTTACGCATTAAAAGTGCCGTGTGCAAAAATTAAAATATCACGTTACCGGAAAGCCTCTGGTGATGAGGAATGGTTGTATAAAGTGTAGAAATGTCTTACGCTTTGATGTTACTGACTTTTAAAAAAAATGGTGATTTTAAATTCACTAATTATTTTTAAATTGTCAAATTCTTATGGAGCAATCCTTATGCAGTGAAAATTGAAGTTTGTTCAAACTCTTGTCGCCCCCCCCCCCAAAAAAAAAATAAGAACAAAATAAATTATGTTTGAGAACATATTCTTCTTTTGTTTTTGTTTTAAAAAGTGCGAGAACACGGTTTGACAAAGAACTACGCAGGCTAACTCTCGATTCCTACATTTTAACTCTCGATTCCTGCCTTCATTTTTGGCCATTAAAACTTTTTTGAATGCAAAGAAGAGTTTATTAGTAATTGATTAATAATTTTAATACCAGTTTCAAAAGGTTAGGTGCTCTTAATAACAACTCTTAAAAACGGGAAGGGGGGTAGGAGGGGTGAGTCAAAATGTTATTTATCTATTGAGATCAAGCTTCAAAACATCACCAGATTTTAAAAATACTCACGGGTATTAAAAAATGATCTTTAGATCTTTCCGTATGTTAAACTATATAACGTAAAAATTAAAAATAAGATTGATAGAGTACAATTTGTTAGTTGTAATCTCATTTGATATTGGTAATAAAATTAATATTTTCGCTGCGTTTTTATCTTCAAACATACCCCCAACCCCCCGGGATGAAAAACAACAACAACAAAAGCTATGGTATGACTTTATTAAACAACAAAATAATATTATCGATATCTGGAAAAGGAATTTTTCTTCACGAGGGAGGAGTTTTTTAAAATATTTCCTGTTTTGCATTAAAATACGTTTTACAAAAATTATAGTTATCTCTCTTTGGTTTCCCAACAGTTTTTAATATTTTATACAAAAAAAAAATTAATTCATTTATTTATTTTGAATTTCATGAATCATATTCAATTTATAAATATGAGAAATCTTTCAAATATAACTTTTGAAAATTGACCTGGAGGTAGGCTGCAGAACAATTCTTTCGTTGGCAGTTCTTTTTATGAAAGCAACTTTTGCATCGTATATGTTTGTGAAACTATAACCTCCGAGTCGCGGCTAAGGTTAACTGAAAAGCTGAAAAAAATTTATAAGAAGATGAATAAACTTCAGCTTCTTCCTGGGACAAACAAACCTTTGATTGTTAAATTATGGAGCTACAGTGGAATCAGAATAGATTTGACACTTTTAGAAAAAATGTTGTCTTTTTGTCTGTAGGTTTCATGGCATACCTAACGTTTATGTCCCTTGACTTAAGCTGGTTTTTTTTTTATCTGAAGGATCCATAAATCTCCCTTGATTTATCTGTAGGTTCCATGGCTTTTTAATATTTACCTTTCTTGATTTAAGGTGATATCCTTATATACAGGTTCTATGACTCTCCTAGCCTTTACCGTGGGCTTTATAACTAAAGGTTCCATAGCGTTTTTCTCCCTTGATTCAAGTTCTTTATATATCTGTAGGTTCCGTGCAATTTCTCCTCCTCTTCTAACATTTATCTCCCTTGACTTAAGGTAGATTTGTATACCTGAAGGCTCTTCTAACGTTTATTTCCCTTGATTTAAGCTGGGTTTTATAATTTAGATTGCCGTGGCCTTTTTAAGGTGTCCCACCCTTGAATTAAGCTATAGGTTTTATAATTTAGATTGCCGTGGCCTTTTTAAGGTGTCCCACCCTTGAATTAAGCTATAGGTTTTATAATTTAGATTGCCGTGGCTTTTTTAAGGTGTCCCATCCTTATTGATTAAAGGTGATTTCTTACTTGCAGGTTCCATGGCTCTCCTTACAAAAGACCAGTATAAAGGTAAGGGAAATTCATAAGACGTTCTTTATTTTGATAATAAAATATGATTTTTTCTCTTTCGCAAATAATCGGCACTTTCAATGAAATGTTAACATGAAAGGTATAAGAGAATAAACATTAGATTCTAGTGGATTTGGAGGCCAAATGTCAAAGTCTGTTAGCAGAAAAACATGAATTGGGACTGTTCAAGATTTAAATACGAAGAACAGATCTCGTAATTAGGTTGGGATGGGGTGATAGCTTTTATGGGGAGAAACCCGTCTTTACTTATGTGCGTATTTTATTTTACTAAGATCTTATGATAGTCCGATCGTCAGGTTCATAAAATCAGCAGTTACTGAAAATGCTCACAAAAATATCTCTGAATTCACAAAGAAACCTGTATTTACCTATCATATTTCTTCAAAGTTCATCATTATAGTTAATGATATTACATGTATAAAGGGAAAATTACTAGCATCAAATCTCAAATATATATATTTTTCAGGAAACGCGAATAAAAACTCCAGATATGCATTTTCTAATTAAAAATTGATCAACAAATATATTCTATATATATATATAAAAAACTATAGGTCTCCAGGCATTCAGAGAAAAATGCATGTTTTTTAATACTTACATAGTAATTTAGCTCTTCTATTTACTTCAGTTATATAATACACTGTGTATAAAGTTTGTGTTATCCTTGCAAGACATCACGGGTCACTTTTAATTTCATATCATGCCTATAGGCATTTGTATCTAATACTAGATTAAAATAAATTTAATTTCTCTAAAATTATAAATTCTCTAAAAAATGTATTTATTTTTGTACTCTTATGGAGTACAGATGTCGACTTTTTACAAGACCGTCTCCAAAACTTCAAAGCATCTTGAATCATATTGAGATGTATGAAATAAAAATTGTTGCACGAAAAGATTTCAGTTTCAAGATTCATTTTGAGACTTTTTAAATAACAATACTAATAATTTTAATGAGTTATCCTTCTGGCTGAGGAGCAGATGTCCTTAAAAGGGGCCCACTTTCCCGGAAGTGGCGTGAGTAAGGTCCAAAGTCATTTTTGCCACTATACATTTAATAGCACAGTCCTAAAAATCATAGTAGGGATTCCGATCTTCATCCCACCCATCTGGGTCCGCCATACAAAGGAAATACTCTTAATTTATAGTTATTGGGGAAACATGTTGTGCATGGTTCATAGGAGAACTTGACGGTAAAATCTGTCAATTCTTTTTAAATCTCGAATGCTCACCAACTTAATATTTAACAGCTTATGATATTAGGATTACGAGGATAATCTTTTAATTTTTACTTGTGTTTCTTTGACTTAAACATGAATTTTTGAATTCGTCTGGGTCATATGTACTATTGTATAAATATTTTGTTGTCTGAAGTGGTTAAAATCCTATGTCAAAGAACGAAGAAGTACCAGTTTAACAAATGTAGAGAAATAAAATTAGGGGAAAAAATCAAAAGTAATCAAATATAGAAATCAAAGTGGGATTTAAATTCTGAATTAGATATTTTTACACCTCAAGATAGTAAAGAATTGTTCTTTTAAAATCTATATATGGAACAGCCATCACATTGTCCGTGGTAATTTGAACTTAGCCTTTTATCCACAAAAATGTGGGAAATTATAACTTATGCAGCAGTTGTACATTGTGTTGGAACGTCTGTGTCCGATTCACACAGTTGATGTATAATAGAACTTATACTTATCTCAACACTATGAAGTATTAGGAACTTATTTTCATTCAACTTAGAAATTCAGAAAAAAAGTGATGTTATAAATGCAGGCCAAGTATTCTTTTCTTTTCGTTTTTTTTTTTTTTTTTTACATATATGAACGTCATGTATATGTACCAAGGTACTATTCAAGAGATTAAATGAATCTTACATATTTCTAGTTTCAATTAATAGCTATCGATAAATAGGAACTTTATTGCAGAAATTAAGGCGTCGTTTCGTGCCATGGATGTGAATGGAGATGGGCGCCTATCTATTAAAGAGTTCAGAGACGCCGCTAATAAGATGGGACAGAATGTAACCACAGCTCAGGTGAAGGAGATGTTTAAGCTCATCGATGACGATGGTAAGTGTCTTAACTTCAGGATCAATTTATTTATTCGATACCATTTAAATCGGGTAAAAATCAGTAACATCGACAATTTAGCGTTTGATAGCTACTTATGGAGAATATTACCAGCAAGAAAATAATACATAAGATGAAAACGACGTTTTGCTTATCGACGTATACGACAGTGAATAAACAAAGAGGGAGGACATCCCATAGCAAAAGAGTACATTGTAAATACACAATGTGAAATAAACATAGGTAATCAGAGGTTACAAAGCTCACCTCAATGAATGTTGTCTTTAAGTAAGGCAAAGTCCCACACTAATCTAATAATCTAGTAGTGTGCATCCTTAGATGCAACATTTATACGATTTTTGTCTGATAGGGCTTGCAGTTACTTGGGAATGGACTTATTTAAAAATTTTAAACTAGTCACTCATCCAGAAAATGTAAGTCAAATCCAGCATCTGAAGAAAGTTTAAGAATGTTCGTCCATTAAGGCAGCATCCATGCAAGTTTGGTTCAGATATGCCTTATAGTTTCTTGGGAATGGACTTGCTCCAAAAACTTTAACCTAGTCACTCATCCGGAAAATAAAGGTCAGATCCAGCATCCGAAGGAAGTCCAGTAGTGTGCATCCTTAGATGTATCATCCATGCGAGTTTAGTTAAGACAGCCCTTATAGTTTCTTAGTAATGGACCTGCTCCAAAAACTTTAACATAGTCACTCATTAGGAAAATATAGGTCAGATCCAGCATCCGAAGGAAGTCCAGTAGTGTGCATCCTTAGATGTATCATGTATGCAAGTTTGATCAAACATAGGACTTATAGATACTTGGAAATGAGATCTGCTCCAAAATCTTTAACCTGGTCACTCATCCGAAAAATATAGGTCAGATCCAGCATCCGAAGGAAGTCCAGTAGTGTGCATCCTTGGATGTATCATCCATGCAAGTTTGGCCAATTTAGGGCTTATAGTTACTTGGAAATGAGATCTGCTACAATAACTTAAACCTGGTCGCTCATCTGGAAAATGTAGGTCAGATTCAGCATCCAAAGCAAGCCTCGTAGTGTGCATCCTTAGATGTATCATTCAAGCAAGTTTGGTCAACATAGGGCTTATAATTACTTGGAAATGAGACCTGCTCCAAAAACTTAAACAGCTCCAAAAACATTCTTTAACTGAAACTGTAGCATCTGAAACCTTGATTGGTACAATGAAACACACTAGAAGCATCCTCCATGCATCTCTGATTAATATAGGGCATAGAAGTACTTGAAAAGAAATCTGCTCCAAAAACTTTAACCTGGGACGCCGACGCCGAGGGTATTACATAAGCCAACTTCGTTGAGGTGAGCTAAAATGGAAGAAAAAGAAAGAGCCATACATACTCTTAGGATTTATTCACACAGATTGATTGTATGTTGTTTTACGCCCCTCTCGAGAATTTTTTACTCATATAAAGATGTCACCATATACCGGTGAAGGGCTTCAAAGGATTACTGCACTTAAGGACATGCGAAAATTGCGACAAAATAAACTTTCAAAAGAAGCATTTTTCTTAATTGCAGGAATGGTCAACATCTAATCTACAACTTGACGTAATTACATTACATAAAAGTATGTATTTACGAAGTACGAAGCTGTTTTCAAAGGCGGGGGTCATCATAATTTCTTGAATCTCCGTACGATAATGAGGACGCCCACTTTTTCACTGACTTAATATATAGTCATGTTTGTCTATAATTGTTCTCCGTTTAACAGTAGTTGTATATTTGCATTGATAATGTTGTGTCAAAATGAGATTAATAGACAAACATGCGCTCATGGTTTAAAAGAGAGAAAAAAACTGCTTCTTCTTACATTGGCTCTCTCTGTTGTAACCAAGGGGTGTGGCATGTTGAATATATTATGTAACCACGTAATTTCATATCTTATGTAAGGGCAAGGATCAGCTATTTGTAAATAATAACGGCCGTCACAGTGAAAAAAATTGTGTCAATATTTTTACACTTTTTCTAGTTGAAAACATCTATATTTATATCTTCCTTCATGAATTAAAAAAGAAAAGATAGTTGCGTTTTTATTTTTTAAGAAAATCGCATCCAAATATAGGTGATCAAAAAGTGACGGGCGTTATGTTGACACAGTTAATGCGAATTTTGGAGGTTTTTTCGCCCTTCTCGAAACGTTAAAAAAACCACCACATGCATGAATCTGACCACACTTTCACTTGGAATGAATAATACAGCTTTTTATGACCTATCTGTAAAATAAATAAGGCACAATTAATCGTGACGGAGGTGACGTCAAATTCTCTTGCTGTAGCATTTTCATCATTCTTACTTTCTGCAAAGAAATCGTGTTTTCGGTGTTTTTTTCACTTCATGAGGAAATAAAACTAGTTTTTCATTTTAAAAAAGCAGAATAAGGTACATTACTTCTCCCTTTAACAATTTTTTATCCTGTTTAATAAACGGATGTTATATTTGACCTTATGACAAAAATGGATTTTACAAATTGACAAACTAAGGTTTGCTAGTTACGGAGGTTACATTGACGCTGATTTTTAAAGCATTTCGTAAGTTTTCTTAAGAATACACATGATTTCATACATGCAATGAAGTTTGTGTGTCAAATATCTACATCCAAACATTCTGCTAATACTATAATTAAAACTACTGCAAGTATTTTCATGAATTTTTTAAGCACTGTGACGGATGTTACAATATAACGTCCGTTACGGTTTTTCATGGTAGTTACATTTTAACTCTCTACGGGCTTTGTAATTTTTATTTAGTAAATTTATTATTTGTTCTTCATTAATCAGTTAACATACAACTGAAGTTTACTGATAAAATTTTATCTTTAATAACATAATAAGAAAAAAATTGGTATCAGCACAGATTAAGAATGGTCAAATCATAACAGGCAATCAGCCAAGAAAATCAATAAGGAACTGGTAGCATGGCATCTGAAAAGAAAATAAATTATTTTTTTAATAATCAAAACAGCGAAAAATATGTCCATAAAATTTCTATGTTACATAATCGAATCATTGTGCTTCAGAAGTTAAGGTTTGACATTGTTTTCTGTCAAACTGTCACATCCGTATATTTTATGTTAGTCAAAATATAACTGCCGAACTCTATGATCGTAATAGTTCTAGAAAAATGCTTAACTTTTGTGTCAAACAATAACAATTATAGATTTCAACATATTGGAGAACATGGCTTGTCCATTTTATCAAGAAATATTATATAAATCTTATTTAGTTATTAGCGTGACGCCAGTTATCTACTAAGAAATGTTGACCGACAATGCAACTCACCCACTTTGCCTCCTTTTTTTGTATCATGGTCACTTTTGATGACGTATTCTGCAAATGTGTGGTAAAACTAATAGAAAAAACGAACTGGTTCTATATATCGCATATGCAAGTCATTTTACGCCCTAGATTACGGACGTTACGAATTTGACCGACACCTGTGTACCTTTGCTAAATTTGCGATAATTTAGTATTTAAATCCTTTACGCAGACGTTATGGGAAAGCACCTGTTGAGTATACTTTTAAGTTAAACCTAACATAAAATATTCGTATATTTTCTATACAGTTACATACATTTCAATGTTTAAAGTCAACCCATCATGTTGACCGACACTCATAACGTCCGTTATACATTTTCAAGGCTATTTTTCTCGGGCTAATGATAACCAATTGTAATTATTTTTATCTATAATTGTAAGGTAAACATCTATCTTTTAGAATAGTCATATATAAAAAGTATTAATTTAAGTTTTTTTTTTAAATGCATTTTTGACACATAGGTTGGGAAATCTCTTATAAGCATGCGCAAAAGTTGGACAATTTTACACAAATTCGGTAATATTAATTTTATTTCTTAAAATAAAAAGATTAAATTGTTTATTCTTTCTCTTTTATATTACAGAAGTATAAATAAAACTTTCTGAATTGCAAAAAATATATATTCTTCTTGATTTCAATTTCAAAAGTGACGGCCGTTATTATTTACAAATAGCTGATCCTTGCCCGTAACTCTGTGAATATAATTATATTAAATTTCGTCACGTGACTGTGAATATAATTATATTAAATTTCGTCACGTGACTTGCATGTTTTGTGCTAAAAAGGACACTGTGCTTGAACACGTTGAATTGTCAGGCATCGAATCAACATATTCTTTACTAACATATGCATGTTCGAGCTAATATTGTTAATTTCGCTTTGAAACCTTTGTAAATAGTGCACTTGTTCCATATAGAATAAAGGGGGAGATGGGAAAGAGTAATCTCGTATTTTTATACGTTATTTTTATTTATCTATCTCACTCCTACTGTGTTCGGAACATTTTTATTTTTCCGTGCTCTGCAAATTATAAAATCCGAGGAGTTCCCAGTAGCTCTGGCGAGATCTAGCGAGACTACAACGAGATAAGGTAAATTATTCAGGGAAATGTGCCTTGGAAGCGACTAGCACATGGTAAACAGAAGGTTTCAGAACCTAAGAAATCTACTTTTGGGGAGAAAAATAAAAGTAAAAATAATTTTTGTTTGCCCCAACACAAAAATATTGCATCACGTCTTCCTCTTTATTGTACGCATGCGCAGAAAAGTTGCAAAATTTATTTTGGTGACAATTCCATAGATATAAATATCGGATGACCGAGGATTTTGATACAATCTTCAATAAAGATTATCAGAACTTATTCATCACTTTTGCGTGCTAAAATTTAATGTTGTGTACAAGTTTCACGCTAAAGAAAGTCGCGTGATCATGACATTGTTGATGTTGACGATAACAACTAAGCGGTAGATACAACCTTTGTTTTTCCGGCACTTACATTTTGCAGTTCTTTTCTTGCTTTACAGTGCTGTTGAGTTGTCAAAACTTCGCTTTAGTCATATTTCACATAAATCTTTTCTTTAATGATACAATTACCTTAAAAGAAACACATAACTTTGACTCATTATGTAACTTTAACCTTGAAGCG